TCTCGGGGGTGGGGTCGCTGGGGATTCCTGGGGAACCCTACTCTCGTCCGGGGGAGGGCATTGGGAGGTTTGGGGGGGACCTTCTGGTGACTACGTGCGGATCCTCAGCTGGTCTGCAGCGGCGATCATGGGTCGCCGATCCAGTGGTCTAGCTGTGCTGGGGTAGGTTCGGGCTGGGCACGGGGGACTTAGGGTCTGGGGGTCGTGCCACCCCTGGGCTATGGTCTTGGTAGGGCCTGGGGGGCTTGGGCCCTGGTGGGCGGTTGCTGGGCTCTGGGCCAGTTTGTGCCCTGGTGCCCGGCTCTGGGCTGGGGGCCTTCGGTGCTCTGGTGGGCGGGGGGGCAGTGGTGGCTGGGTGCGGGGTCAGTGACCCATGGAGGAGGTGGGTCAACCCAGCCTGAGTGTCCAGTGTGCTATATGTTCTGAGAGTTGTACGAATGTTGGGGTGGGTGTAGTATTTCTTCTGGGGTGGGGGATGTGTGGATGGCCTTTGTTGGCAGCCGGGGGCTGTGCTGGGGTGGCTGGTTGGTCCCTTAGTGGTGGCGGAGCTCACTCTCGGTGCCTCCTTGTGCCGCCGGCGGCTGGGTGGGAACTCTTGGCCAAACCTTCCTTGCTGGGGTTCGGTGGCCTCTGTTGGTCGCGGGCTGGCTGTGGGACTGGGGTTCTGGTCTTGGAGGTCTGGATGGATCCAGGGTGGATGGATTGGTGGTCCTCTTCTCTGGTGGTCCCGTGGGCTCTGTTTTGTCCGTGGCCTTGGGCTCTCCCGGCCTGGCGGTTGGTCCAGAGGAGATGGCATTGGGACCTCACTCCCTGGGTGGGTTTCGGGGAGCGGGGGGTCCTTACGGGGTCAGTGTGGGAGCTGACTCCCTGCAGGAGCAGTTTGCTCCCTCACTTGTTTTTATCCTCATCCCTCACCACATACCCTCACCCCCTTCACTTTCAACTCCACTCATGTAGGGTTTTTGGGGTGCAAGAGCGACAGTTTTACATCTCAGTTTGCCATAACCACCTGAGCCCCAATTTTACTATGCACTTTAGACATTAAATCATAACGTCCTCAGAACATTCACTTATAGGAACTTGGGGTGGGCACTCTATGGCAGACAAGGGGCGAGAGGGAATCACTCTCGCCGCTGGCGCCTGTGTCCACCCCCAAGGATTGCTTGTAGACACTTAGGGTCAATTTGGGTTGGAGTTGGGGTGGAGGGAAAACTGGCACAATGCTGGCCTCTGCACCTCTTCTTACCAATTTTATTTGCACTTTAGAACAACATGTATCAACAGCACATCTGTGGGTTGGGGTGTGTATGTTGGGGTCTTTGTTTTTCTTTTTTCTCTTGACCTACCATGCTTTGCAATGGCCACTTGGGGGTGGGGTTCAGTTAGGGGCGAACCGTCTGGTGGGGTCCTGGGCTGCAGATGGTTTCGGGGTCCTGGGGGGATGCCGGGGGATGGCTGGTGGTCTGTCTTCCCCGGGGTTGTTTGGGCTCTCGGATTGTGGCCCTTGGTTGCCATGGTTAGCCCGCTGGCTGGGGTGGCTGCTGGGGTCTGGCTGGTGGTCAGCTGGGGGTGTGCGCCTGGCCATTGGCGGGGTGTGGGGGTGGTCGGGAGTGTTGCTTTGCAGTGGCGGGGGGCAGACCAGCTGGCCCGGTGCAGCCCAGGTCGGGCATTGGCTGTCTGCTCTTCCACACCCCTGAATGAATGGGCTTGCCTCCTGGGTTCGGATATGGCATGCCCTCTGTAGGGGGGTGGGTACGTGTCCTGGACCTGGGGGTATAGAGTGTGTGTCAGGAGTGTGAGTGGGGAGTGGCGTTCTTCTTGTCTGTCTTGAATGAGTGGGTGTGAGAATGAGGGTGGGACTGTGTGATTGAGTGTTTGCAGGCTGGGACTCGGGCTGCCCCCTCATTTGGTTCACCTGAGAGCCCTCTACTAGTGATGGGCTCTGCCCCTGGCCGCGCTGCCCTCTGGTGGGGTGGGCCTCTGCCGGCCGGTGCGCTGGTGGCTCTCAATGTCTGGGGCTGGGTGCTTGATTGTGTGCCGGCTCGGCCTGGTGGCTGCCTGGTGGGGCTTGGGTCCTCTGGCCCTGTCGGGCCTTGGCCTGGGGGGGGGGGTGCACCCTGTGGATCCAGGTCTCTGTGTCCATCCCTGGTTCTGCTCCGGTGTGGCGGGGGCCGGCAGGGCCTGTGGTCGTGGCTGTTGGCCCCGTGGGTTCTCTGCATGTGATTGCTGGTGGGGCTCTCCTGGTTCTCTCCTGTGTTCCTCTCTGGGGGTGGGTGGGTGGTTCTTGCTGCGCAGGTGGCCTTGGGGGCTCAGTGCTTGAGGTCTCTCTCGGGGTCTGTGGCTCTGGTCCCCCTTATGTTTGCCTGTGTGTGTGTATGTTTGGGTGTATGTATGTGTGTGTATGTAGGTATGTTTGTATGTAAGTATGTGTGTGTATATGTGTGTGTTTGTATGTGTATGTGCCTGGTTGTGTGTAAAGGTGTGTGTTTTTTGTATATTAATTAACGAGGTTATAATTATTGTATGTAGGTGTGAATGTGTACAGTATATGTGTGTATTTATTTATATATGTGCGTATGGGTATATGTACATACATCTGTTTAAGTTTGGTTGCTGGATGTTTGCTCTCTTCATTTGCTGATGGTCAGATGTTGGGTGTGGTGTCCTGTATGTTATTGGTGTTCATTTCACATGTTACATAATTTCTATTGGTTTCTCTCTTTACTGTTCTTATATTTCTCTTCTACGTTTTCTTTTTCTTCCTTACTATAGTATTTAAAAAAAAAAGCCACTGATGATGCAGAAATTAAGAAACTAACATTAGGGTTTTTTTTCTACTGAAGTGGCAAAAAAAGTCTGTTTTTTGTTATTTACAAATAATACGACAAGGTGTACATTAAAATTGCAAAAGAAATCCTGCAGAGCTGTCATCACAGAAACGTGGCTTCAAACAATTCACTTCACTTCGATTCAATTCAGTTTATTTCTATAGGGCCAAGTCACAACAACTGTTGTCTCAGTGTACAATAAATAAATGAATAAATAAATAAATAAATA